GAGAAGAGCGTTGCTTCACGGTGGGCCGGCGGCAGACCTAGCTGCAGGCCCTGATGCTTGGCTACATTGTCCATGAACATTATACTGAACAAATTTCATTTCATGGTGAGCATTCATGACAGGTGCTGCAGTGCCACAGCGCCCGCATAAGTGAAGCTTCACTGGCAACGACAACATCCCCAGCAGCAGGCCCCACAACAACATTCCTGCTTCTACCTTATTAATTTCTGTTGATGTGGCTATGGTGCGTTCGACGACTGCTGCTACTTCGACACTTCGTGCAACAACAGCACCGACAGCACCAGCACCGGCACCAGCCCCACCCCGACAACCGACACAGCCACCACCACCACCAGCACCAGCACCAGAGTGACAGCAGCAGCACCAACACCAACACCAACACCAGAACAGCAGCAGCACCATCACTAGCAGCACCAGCAGCATGAGCAGCAACGCTTTGAAAGTTTAGCCTCGCAGAAGGCCGAATGCCATCATTGTCGACATGATCATGATGCTCAGCCTCGGTTTGTCCCTCCACCTCTCGCGTGTCTGTCTTCCTTTATGTCCTCCTCGTGTTTAGTGTCGTCATGGTGGTGGCACTTCCGACGTAGATGTGAGCCCGCTTCACGGGCAGTGTGACCTGCTTCAGATTGCAGTGCTCACGCCTCGATAGAGCAGAAACTCAAGCCCCCAAGACCGTGCCAGGGTTGGTGACTCCAACATCCGATTGCACGAAGCTTCACGCAGGCTTCCAGCCAGTTGATGTGAGAGGTGTTGGTTTCGTCAACTTGCAATGACGCGCCCGTGCTGAGAGAAAGGTTTGGAGACTTGAGGTTTCGGGAGCCGAAGTTCTTTCGCCGGTGCGGCCTTGTAACAGTGTAAAGTTGAAAAAGTTGAGACGAGGCTTCTTTCTTAGCTGAGTCGAATCTTGGCGAAGTGTCGGTAGTGTTTCAGGCAGTCTCTCCGGTATTTGTTGCCAATGCCGGCGGGGAAGAAGCCATTTGCCAGCTGCATCATCAAAGTGTCTCCCGAATGTGTTCATTTTGTTTCATCGCACATCTTCGTCGATATTGCACAGCTTCAGAATTCACTCTTCCTATGTAGACAGGCGCCGGACGTTTCATAAGCCAGCTTCAACAATGTCAATTGTCTGCAAATGCCCCTTGCAAAGTCCTTCGGCCCAGACATCTCATTCCAAGAGCCTGTGTTGGAACGGCTGTTCTTGAAACATGCCAGGTGCATTATCTTCGCTGCTCAGCGACTCTTGGGCGCTTTGCCGAGCTTTCCGCACAGCATGAGAACCTGCCATCAAAAAATCTGACTCTTCCGTGCATCTAGCGTCCAGCTCATAGTGTTAACCGCAGAGCATACGTACCCATGAAGCCCCTTGCACAGTCAGCATGTTTTCACATTGCTCATCTGGCATGAGCCGCGGGAAAACTGCGGGACGACGGATGTAGGGCTTCGGGATCTGATGGAGAGACATGCCATGCCCAAGCTGAAGGGAGCACAGAGGAAGTCAGTTTTTGGCATGTGTCATTGGTCGTAACAAACACCGGACTAGCTGACGAACCAAACCAAAATCCGGAGCCTGAAACTCTAAGCTCTATACTCCCATTAGTGCCCCAAGTACGACAGCCCCAAGCCTAGACAAGGTCTGACGCAAGTCTTGGGCAGCCTTCGGAGCAAGCTCCAGTCCAGCCAAAAAGGCGGCGAGCGGACGAAGGTGGATCCTGACTTTGCCAATTGCGGGCTTTTGGGGTTTAGAGTGTGGTATAGGAAAATGGTTCGTCTTACTTAGTGAATGGCAAAACAGCAGACATACCTGGTGAAGAAGTTGAACAACACGCTCTGTAATGTTCACGGTGGGAGCAACAGCTCCCTGAGTGCCCTTTAAGTTCTGCGCGTTCCGCTGCTGCCAAACTCTGAACTGCAAGCCTACGTCATGTGGAATATTTGCCCCAAACCCAAATCATCAGACCTGCACCCCTACATCGAAGGCGCCAGCGCACTTTAGACGCAAGCTTTCTTTGGCCCGCCAGAGGGGTTCGGCCCCAGGGTGTCCGGGATGACCGGGATGATCATATTAGCAACACTGAATCTCCATAAGCCTCACCGCTGAAACCAACTATCAACTTTGCCGGATGCTGGCCCCCAAGACCCTAAGTTGCCAAAAGGTGCACTTCGGTGTCATCGACACGGCGTGCGTGCTCTCAGAGCACTTCCCTGCCCGACGTAGCGAGGCCACAGTTAGGTTTCGGGGTTACTTAGGTTTGGTTTCCTCAGTGATTCGAGGTCTTAGATTGGGGTTTTTTGTCTCCTCAGCAGAACTATACGGACTGCCAGTCGTGGCAAAGGACACCCACCCTCAACCTCCCTGGCGAGGAAGCTCCGCGCTCCTCGGAAGACTCCTGGACGGCCGAGGACGCGCCTAAGGGGCATTGGGGATTGGGGCTTTTGGGGCTCGAGGGTTCTAGGGTTCTAAGGTTGCGGTTTAAGGTTGAAGGGTTCATGAGGTTTGGGGTTTGAGGTGTAGGGGTTCTTTCGTGGGTTTGCTGTGTTTGCCTTTTGCGGGATATTATGTGTCTACACACATGCATACACTAATGTATATATGTATATGTATATATATATATATATATATATATATACACATATGTATATGTATACGGTATACACACACATATGTAGAAATACAAAACTTCTGTGTATATCTCTATATATATATATATATATATTTATTTATATTTATATTTATACATACATACAGTTATATACATACTATGCATGTGTGTATGTATGTATCTATATATATATATATATATATTTGTATTTCTGTCCGAAGACTAGTGTAACTAGTTGGTTATAACGATAAGGATTCTTCTGCTTCTTGTTGCTGCCATCTCTAAGTGTTATGTTTGTTGTCATAGATGTTACCAGTGTATCACTGGCCACGGCTTAATCGAGTGCAGAAGTTTGTATGTCTAAGAGTGGCTCTTCATGAGAGACAAATGAAATATTCGGGACGCCGGTGGTTGCTTGTTGTCCGTTTCGCTGGTGGATTTAGCAGATGTTGAGGCAGGGCTTGCTTGAGGTTTTTCGGACCCATTAGTCTGCCCCGATCCCTCTAGAATCTCCGGCACGCGCGACGGAGACACTGCACACTAACGGTCCAATTGAGCTGGCGGCCCACAGGCAGATTCATGCTATCCTACTAGACACTTCCATGTCTTAGCAATGTGATCGAAATTCCGCAACCGAAAGCCGTCAGAAATCGCTGCGTCGTGGAAGCGCTTGAAAGGACATGGCGCCCCTCATCCTGGCAGGATTAGACGACTCTTTCGGGTTCGCCGCTACCCGTTCGGGTTTCGACGGCTTCAGGATTTGAGCTTTGTTTGTACGGCCTGGTGCCTCGGGCTTAGGTTAAGGCTGCGGTTGGGGTGGAGCGTTCTTTTGGACCTCAGATGTCTTTGGCACTAGGCTGTCGGAGGGGTTTGAAGGGTTGCAGGCTCGGGCTTAACGGGCTGTGGTACGTGCTTGAAACTCAAAACAACAGAAAACCTGCCATGCTTCGACATGCCTTCACCTCTGTAGTGGTTAGCTACCATTGCCAAGCCGAATATAATGATGCTGAGCATCAAGTGAGTTGCCAAGCAAAAAAAACCAGGGCCAGGGACTCTGAGGCATTCGGTTGCTGGCTCGGATGACGTCCCCTCCCCTGTCCTATCCTTACCTCCAGGGAAGCTGAAACCAGGCCTTGGGGCTCTTCTTTGAGTTTCGGTGTCGAGAGGACAGGAGGCAAGAGTCTATGCACCCGAGCCTCAGTCTGTAGTGTTCGCCTACACCTTAAGCCCTGAGCCCTAAACTGGCCTAAAAATCAAGCAAGAAACCATCCATCCTTTCCCTTCCTCTTCGCTGTGGCTCGGCTCAAGCCTTGCCCCCCATCAGAGAACGAGTCTTTCCACTAGACTTTGCGCGCTTGGAGCTCGAGAGTCGCTCCAAAACCTTTCAGGAGTCTCGCAGGAGCTCATTAGATTTGTTTGGTTTCAAGGGTTCAGGAGTGAAGATTGTAGCTTCGTGTGTGAGCTTGGCTCCTTCGTGGTTGAGCTTCCGCTGGGCTCTCAGTATCTTCGACACAGCGCTTGGTAACTGATGCAAGGCCAGACCAGCTAGCTTTCCCGCACTCTTGATCCACGACCTCCCCGCCTCCTGCCTAGCTTGCAGTTTGGGTTTGCAGGATTTGGTGCTTTGGCGTTGTGCCGCAGGTTTGCTTGCCTCTTTGCAAGATGTTCGCTGAGTCGCCGCTTCCCCGTGGATGGTTTGTATTTGAGGTCGTCAATTGAAACCCTATCATCGCTCAGGTCTTGAAGAGTCATCCGACCAACAGGCAGCCGCCGTTTTTCGTACAAAGCTGAGGATTGAAGATTTCTTGCAAAGCTGTGTGGGGTGTACGTTGCTTCAATTTTGGCGGTCAGAGATAGTCAGAGCATGGCCTCTCAGGCTTGAACAGAACGCTCCAGCATCGAACCCCTGAACCAGCCTTAAGCACCAAACTGCCGCGATTTCTCTAAAGACTGCCAGTTTGAATCGGTAAGCTGTCTGCGGAAATAGCATTGAACATACCCGACTGCACCTCCTGGAAAGGTCTGGTCTAGTCAGTCTGGTGGTAAGGCTGACTCGGAGGAAACCTGGGGAGCTGTGAGGTATGAGCCGTAGGCATTTAATTACACGGTTCAATGTAGGCCAGGCACTCAACAGCAAGCACCGCCACAACCTTCAACCTAGAGAATGTCGAAATCTTCGCTTGCTCGGTCCTGCAGTAGCACCAACACTTTATGTTGTAGTTACGTTGCTTCAACCCTTGTTTTGCAGTGGGGAAAAGGGTACCCTCATTGTTGAAGGGATACGGGGTCGCCTAGACTCGAAAGCTGGAGAGTCGATCGTCCACCTGGCTCTCTGTTGTTTAGGGTTTAGGGCTCGTGCCAGGAACCTCTTTCGCCATGCGGGTGACCCTCATCTTCCATTTGGCTCTTGCCCTTGTCGTGGAGGCGGGCAGCATTTCTTTGTTCGCGGTTCGGGGCCCTGTGCATTTCAGGAGATTCGGTCTGCCTTCGGCGAGTATTGTCGGTTGTCATTGCTTTCTTTTGGGTTCGTGAGTGCTTTCGGAAGCTGTGGAGTCAGGACTTGGGATTGGACTTGGGAGCTGCGAGTGGTTTCGGAAGTTTCTGACCCAGCAACACTGGAGAGCAAACAGCTTCGTTCGGTGACTTGCCCTCTTCTGCAGTGTTGGATGTGCACTAGGGGCGCAGGGTAAGATCCTGGAAGATCTATGCAAAGAGATTGCCGTTGCTGCCGACATTCCGCAGTTTCGGCTCTGCGCCGAAGCACAGCACAGGTGCCAGTTTTTCGTTGGTTGCGCCGCAGTTTTGAGTCGTCGGAAGATGCTGTGTGCCTCCGGTGCTGCCACGACTACTCCCCTGGAGCAGCATGCGAGCTGGCTGTCAGGACGCGGGACCTTGGAGCTCTCGGATCCAAGCACTTGAAACCTGAGGTAAGCAAACGGATGAACATTGGTTTGGACCATCGAAGATTGAAGTGAAATACTCTGAGGCATCACAGAGTGAACGGCATTTTGAAACACAATCGTGTGTCAAGAGGCTTGGGGTCCAGTCCCAAGTCTCACGCCTGATCGCAGCAGTGAAGCTTTCTATCCGAAAAGCAGGACCAAATGCCAAGATCGAGATCGCGGATCAGGGCGTCGAGATGCTTTTCCCGATGTACACGGTGCCCGTACAGGCTGGTTGCAGATTCTTCTTGACACCTTAGAACTTCAACTCGGGGTAGCACGATGACCCTTTCAAGTTGGATTCCGAATGCAACCGCTGCACAAAGCGAGCTTTGAGGGTTATCGTAATTCGCAGTACCCTGTCGCTTTCGCTATCTCTGTGCGAAAGCTGACTCTGGAGACCCAAAATGAACCCTTCTGCCCTCTCATAGTCAAGAGTCAAGATTTTGCTTTCGAGTCAGCAGCGCGGCAGGTGCTCTTCGACATGGGTGAGATCGTTCCGCACGAGGCTAGAAGGGCAAGGGACGTCTTTTGCATTCTGGTTCGAACCGGCGGATGTTCTGAGAGGGGCGTCGCACCGCTAGGAAGATGCAAGCTGTACTTGCTGTAGTTTGTGTCCACACCAGGAGCTCATGGAGCAAGGGGTCTTGGTGGAGTTCGAGGAAACATTGGGACAAGCGGCCTTTGTGTCCCACCAGTGGGTTGGCCGCAATCACCCGGACCCAGAGTTCAAGCAGATGAGAGTGTTGCAAGATGCCTTGCGGCATGTGATGTCGGACCTGAAGAACATTCCTTTGGATATGAATTCAGAAGCTTTGGTGCCTGGCTGCAAGTGCCTGGACACGGCGAAGCTGCGTTCGAAGCCGCTCTTCGTTTGGTACGACTACTTCTCCTGCCCACAGCTCGATCTCCAAGCCACAGCCTCCTGGAGAACTGGCTCTGGGCGGCATGTCAGTGACTGGGTTCGCGTTGGACCTTTTCGATCCTAAAATGACCAAAAGGGGTGTAAAGGGTTGCACCCCGGCGGGCGAGGACCCGGCCGCCGCTTCTTTTATGGTCCTCGTGTGTGGTCATCCCTCCTCCGGAACGGTCGGGGTTTGTGACTAGTACACTGTGGTAACTCCCAGTTTATAGGACAATAGGATACAAGATTGGTATAGTAGAATAGAATCTAATGCAATATAATCACAGTTTAATATAATGTGACATGATATGATATCGGTGCACTATAACGTAATATAATCTATTATAGTACAATATACATTGTATAGGTATATAGGATCACATAATGTAATGCAATATACTATAGCATAATATGAAACAACACAATATGATAGACTTCAAGTAAATTAGTATGATATGAAGTAGGAGCTGAACTGATTCTATATGTTTGTGTCATGAGACAAAACGTATTCGAACATAAAGCAGTTCAACACCACATATTACAGAACAATATGCTGGGTAATCTAATGCACTGCAATTCAACTTAATGTATTGTCTTATGGCAAATTCGTTACTAGTACAATATATCAGAGTAGAAGCAATCTGTTATACTATCGTAGAATATGGTACGAGATGAACTGCCGTCAATATCAATGTACATAAAATATAGATAAACGTGCAGCCTCAGTAGAGTGTTGGTACACATGCCTGTATATATGTATACGTACATGTACGTATATGTGTGTATATATATATGTATATATATATATATATACTTTATACTGTATACATATACATATACAAATTATCTACTGGCTTGACGGAAGTTGCTTAAGAAGCCAGGCGACGGCAGTGGCCTTTCCAGAGCCATCGAGAGCATCCCGGCCTACATCGCCAAATCCAGCTTCTTCTTCGTCCTCTCTCCGGTCATCCAGAGCAGCGGTGATCAGGAAACGCACAAACTTGACCCACACAGCACATAGGCAACGACGGGGCCAGGCACGGTAACATATCGCAGAATCTAGCATGGGCTAGCGCAGTAAAGTAGTGGCTGCCGAAGCCAGGAGTCATCAGCAACATTAGTCAACCACTGCCTCGACCACGAATATCTGGACCCTGTCCCCTCAGCACCTCCTTCGTCTGGCCTCGACTCTGAGAACCACGTGCGATAATGTAGCCCCCAAAGACGAGGACAAACTATTCGGGCCGGGCAGCTGGTCGGAACGGGGCTGGTGTCTGGCGCCAAGTTCTCTAACTGTAGCCTGCAGCATGGGCAAGCGACCTTACGCCCAGAAGCGGAACGTCCTTGGTTTGGGTTTAAGGTTCTATTTACGCTCTCGTAACTCGGACAGGTTTTATTTAGGGACTTTTTGGGCTTAGGATTGACGGGGAGTTGAGGATTTAGCGCAAAAGGCCGGGGCTTGGGGGAGCTTGTGGAGGCTCCTCGAAGTGAGACCCAGAAGCCATGCACCCTAAAGCACTACACCCCTGAACCCTAAGCCCTTAAACCCGAAGCCCCCTAATCCCTAAAGTTCTAAACTCTTAGCCCCGAAAGAGGCCGTCGTGGCAGCGCCCTGTGATGGCTTTGGAAAGCAATTAATTTTAACGCTACGCCGCCCGCCTCGGTTCTGTAGCGGCAGGGCGAGGGGGCAGTGATAGGCTAGAGGGGGGAGGGGGGGAGGGGGGAGGGGAGAGAGGGGGGGGGTGGGAGGGGAGGTGGGGGAGGAGGGGAGGGAGGGCAGGGAGGGATTAGGTGGAGGGAACCTGAGGTAACCCAAGACGCCTGGGCCTGTGGCCTCGGCGGATTACATCAAGGACACCTGAGCCATGTAATCCAAGTTGCAGCAGGACCATATCGCAAACCTCTAAAGCCTCAACCCAGTAGCCTTCAACCCCACGCCGAAAAGGTTGAGCCCCATCTGCACGAAAAGATACGGTAACTTTGTGAAGATTATGCCGGTTCTTCAGAATTCTGTTTCTCTGCGCGACTCGGATTGGTTTGGTAAGGTCGTGTTGAGCGAGCCCTGCGCGAGCTCTCGCCTGAGAATTCCTGGATCATGATCAAGAGCCAAACGGAGCTCGAGCTGGTGGCGAGCCCAGTGGGAGCCGGAGGTGGTGGGGGAGCCCCTGGAGAAGGGGTTTTCACCATGGCCAGAGACAAGCGCAAGCTGGCACCGATCCTTCGGCAAACCTTGAGGCGCAAGCTGGTGCTCTCTCTCAAGAACAAGGACTTCGAGGGGTACCGGGTGCTTCTGAACCTGCAATCTGTCACCTTCAGGGGCTTGGACCTGAAACCCACGAGTGATCTGATCCCCGGCGATCCGGCAGATGCCGCACCCGGCGGGTCGGAGTCCGGGTCTCTTGAGGTGGCGCACTTTCTACACCAGAATGGCTTCAATTCTGTCACGGAAACGGATTCGCGTGGATGGTCAACTTTGCACTATGCTGCTCTGGGTGGAGATCTCAGTTTGATCCGGTCTTTGTTGGAGCAGCAGGCGGATGTGAATCTCCAAACGAAGAAGGATCAGCCGCTCGTAGGCTTGGCATCTTTCGTCTCGCCCCTGGCCGTTTCTGTCTTCTTCAGGCACCTGGACTCGGAATCTCAGATTTTTCCTGTGGTAAACTATAAAGGCTTCATATGAGAAGGAAGCCGCGAAGCTAGACCGAGGCACAACGAGGCAGCGCGGCTGCTCCTCGCCGCCAAAGCCAAATTTGAAGGTGGCCTGCAACCTGCCTTGAACTTGGCAGGCATCTCGAACAACCCCGAAGGCATTCGCATTCTTTGTGACGCTGGCTGCAACCCCCACACGACCAAGGCACAGATTTGGGGTGCAGTTGGGGAGCCTAAGCCCCATGTTTCATGTAGGTGCTGCTCTTCGCCTACGACCGTGCACTCGTAACGAAAACCCTCCCAGCATAATTCTTCCGATCTGAACTAAGTCCATCAACACTTCACCTCTTCTTCTGCCCACGGAACGTTCTCGAAGTGTTGGCCCCGCCTCAATCAGGACATCTTTGGTTTCAGCGCCATGGAGGCGGCTGCGGGTCAAGGGCAGGTGGAGGCCGTGGAGGAAATCCTCCGGCAAGCTGGGGGAAGGATGAGCAGCTGGATACTGAACCGGGCCCTCTTTCTTGCATGTTGTTTCCGTGGCGGCAAGGCCGAAATGATCCATCGGCTCATCGAAATGCGGGCAGACGCGAATCGCCCTTATCCATTCAAAGGATTCTCCTTCAATGGGGTTTTCTTGGTCGCGAAGAGCCTGCAGCATCGTTTTGGCAAGGTCACAAATATCAGCAAAATGTCTTACCATTCTTGGGGGGCGGTGCCTCTGATAGCAGCGATCCTGTCAGCGCAGTACGAGGGAGCTGCGGCGCTAATCTCCGAAGGAGCCCGCTTGGACTTGCCAAACAAGCGTGGCTGCACCGCCATTGATTTGGCTCAAGGCCAAGATTTGCCTTTTTTCATGACAGAGGCGTTGGAGGGGCGTTTGGGAGAGTGCAAGCAGGTAGCAAAGGCAGCTCTCGAGCACAGCTACTTTGAAGTGTGACCAAAAAGCCACCCCGCGAATATCGCCCTGTATGAGGTGGGTATGTTCTTGTTCTGCCCATTTAGTTTGTCTCGTTTCAATTTGAAGTTTTCCCTTCTCGCACTTTTCGGGCCAGCCTCAAGCTGGCTGTGTGAGAGGTGTGCTTTTGGTATCTTTTGGTAAGACGACCAGTGCATGTACAGTGAGGATTTCCCTGCGGGTTCTTCCTCTTTGCACAGTACCTCGGGTGTTCCGCCAGAGCGCTCTTGTATGGCCCGCCAAGGCTGCGGGTGACCTTCCCCGGCAAGTCGCCGGAAGCCATATATGCTTCAACCTGGCTCAGACACCCGATCAAGACCCAAGCCGATCAGCGCATGGAAACGAAGGTCAATCAGCAGAAGCTTCAAGTATCTAGAATGCAGCGGTTTGCGTTCAACAGTCAGTAGTACTATTCTTTAGGGTTCCCTGCAAAAGCTCCGTCTTTCGTACATCGGGAACTCTACTTTCAGCCCTCAGTTTGGACGAGAGAAACCAGGGTGGAGGGTTTAGGAAATCGAAAGTCGAGATAGTCACGCTCTTTTCATGTGTTTCCGTGCTATAGTTACTGGTACTAGCTGCTGCTTCTCCTGCGTATCACCACATACCACCACATCCGGCGTGGTCGGGTAAGACTTGTTGCGTCCTCTACTGTTGAAGTGAGACTTATGATCTCTAGCGCATTTATCTAGAAGCATTCTTTAGTAAAAAAAGTTCGGGGTTGAGGTGCGCAGCCATTCGGACACAAGCGCGAATTGCACAGCAGATCTTGGCAGCAGGCACGAAAGAAGGCGAGCCCGACAGAGGAGGACGGAATCTGTTCGGGTTTAGGGTCTGGGGTTTTGGGTTTAGGGGTATGGCTTTCGATATGGGCAGCAGCCAGCAACGCCCCAAGACTTGATCAGTTTGAGGCGCTGGCCCCCATTTGCATTGGGAACTCCACGGATTAGAACCCTGTGCCCGACCGACCCACTCTGAGGCCTGCCGAGTTTCAAATCTAGAGCTTAGCGTAGTATCCTCCACACTCGTCCAGCTATCCTGGCTATTTAAACCCTCTGATGGAGTTCCTTGTTCTAGCTATCATGATCAAGCATGTTTCTTATTCAAGAACCCCGACACCTAACCCGCAATTAGAGAAGCCTTTCGAGCCAGACAGCGCAAGCACTTCATGGAAGTTCGGGGAAACAATTGTCAACACTCCATGTTATTATTTGGTGGAGGGGTTGCTGTTGGACGGTCAGGTCATGATGATGCCATGCGAGATCGTTCCTTCCATTCCGTGTCGTGAACTTCGTTTTTTCATTCCCTTAGATGCCCCCCGTTTCATGTCCTAAACCTTCGAGCAGACACCCCCAATGTGTATGTTTTTCCTCGCATAAACTTCTGACCTACCATTAACTCGAGGTTCTTGAAGCAACGCAGCTTGCTATCGTCTTTTGAATGCTGCCCCGGGCAGCTTAATCACGCACAGACAAAACCATTCTGGAAGGACGTCGTGAAAAAGATCTGTTTTCGAGCAGGTGTTGGAATTCCGGTTTTGATCGAACAAAGAGGAGACAGCCACAGAAAAACAAGAAAGCTCCAGCGACAACTTGAAACTTGAGTAATAAGTCTCCTCGTCCTTAGGGTTCCTATTGTACCTATACTGGTAAAGCAAACGACCATATGCTTAATACTAAGGCCCCTACAGGTCCTAGGCCCGAGGCCCAGCAATTCAAGCCGACCACTCCTGGAGGCTCTTCAGGAGTTGGATGTCGACAAATCTGGCAAGGCTTCTGCTGAACAGACGGATTTCAGGGGTTCCAGCTTTAGATAAACTGCTATTATTGTTGGTGCCTGCTTGTTTTCGCAGTGTCATATGAGGAAGGCGAGTTGAACCAATTAAGCGCTTCGGGCAGCGAGATACTTTGACAGCTTGAAGAAATCGGGGTCGGTCTGTTACAATCTCGAGTTCACAAGGATTCGTGCACCCCTTGCTTATGAGGCAAGACAATGATGCTAGGAATTCCTTGCATCTTTGCAGGTGGAGCAGACTGAGCTGGAGTCATTTGCACGCTCCAAGGCGGCCGGATAATGTCGAATTCTGAGGAACATATGACATTTTGATAGTGCATGCAGGTTAACACCTACCTTAAATGTTGGAGTTGTACGTACGTATCGCAGACCCTGGATATATTATCCCAAAAATGCTCTTCTGCACTTGGTTGCTCTTTCAAAGGTGGAGCTGCGTGTTCAGCTTCCACGTCCCAGGCGATTACATAAATCCTAGACGACGCTTGATATTTAAGATCTTTGCGGTTTAGAATTTACTTTGAAAAGCGCTTCTCATGCTCCCTGGTACTAGGGCACCTGCTATTGGCAGCCCTTGACACCGTCCACCGCACACCCGAAGCTCTCACTTGACAAGCCGACCTTGCATCCTCGCGAGGGTTGAAGGTCTGAGTCGGGGCAACGGTTTCAGAGCTTCTTCTCGGATTTTGTCAGGTTGGGGACGTGGCCGTTGGATCCCAAAGGCCCTGCAAAGAAGCGGACCGAAGCGACAGAGCAACAACAAAAGAAGCCGGACAGGAACTTGCAGGAGGATCTTGGACTTCACTAACGTAGGCGGAGTACGGTGTGGAGGGGGGTTGACGATGCTGTAGCTTGATGACAGTTGCAACAAATAGCATCCACAAACCCTAGACTGGAAACACATGCGCGCGTCAGCTTCTTATATGGTGATGATCATCGTCATCATCACCATCACCAGCATCATCAACATAAAGAAGATGACAACTGTGCCCGCTGCTCAAGGGCATGTCCCCGGAACAAATTCATCAGGACTGACATTGGGCCGGGCATAACACCGCCGTTCAATAGCGCATGTTGGGTCCTTTGAAAAACTTAAAAACTAAAGCTTTTGCAAGGTCAGTTTTGTAGCCCGTCTACGATACTCTGCTTGGCTTGTGATTCGGCTGTTTAAGATGGGGATAGAGAAGATGTCTCAGAACATCCGTGGAGGGCGAAGGTTGAACGGCGTGGAGGTTTGGGTTTGTTCGGGGTCATGTCCGGAGAGTCGATTTGTTCAGCACCGTGGATGGGGTCTCGTGATTGTTTACCAACTGTTGTTCGACGATTCGTCGGTTTTGGATGGTTTGGTTTCAGCAGTTACTACTCAACTGCTGGTAATGCTGAAGCTCCTGAGCCCAAAGTTTCTCTTCAGCACTCGTTTTCGGAAGCTTTGCATTCCACAATGCGAAATCCGAAAACGCCGACAGCAACCTTGAGCGCATTGAACCTCAAGCATCATCTTGCAGCTCCGCCCCAAGACGCCCCAAGTGGCCCCAAGACCCTGTGAGCCCGCGGACGTCAGACGGTAAGAGTGGAACGAAGCAGACGCAGGACGATGTCAGTGGTACTGGTAGCTGTCACAGTGCAGCAGTAGTGATGGATGACTCAAGGTTTCTTGAGATTAGGGCTACGAGTTCGAGATTTGTTGGCAGGCCGAGTCTTTGTGCTTTGGGAATTCGACTTTCGCAGGGTGCAGGCAAAGGTGTCCCTTCAATACCCTTTTGAACTAGAAGGTTTTCGCACACCAACTCTTGGGAACCTCTTGCAGCCATGTTCTGCAGCACATTAAACTTTTGCACAGCTTCGCTCTTCTCAACATCTTGGAACCTTGACAACTAACACTTACAACCTATGCCATACTCTCCGTCAGAAGAAAGTGGGCAGGCTTGTCCCTCACCCTCGATTGCCCAACTCCACAGCTCTTGGGATCGGTCCCACAGAAAGGCAGGGAGATGAACCATAGCCACGGCATAGTCAATGACTTGACCAGACATCTCCAGTGCGCAGGAGTTCCTGAGCCTGGACCTGAACGGGGACGGTGTGCTCGAGGCAGGTCATCGTGTTGCGCCTATTGCTGACACATCTTGCGAATACATGCATACACAAACACACCCTGCATGCATATGCAAAAATGCAGATACATGAATGCATGCCTTCCTTCCTTCCGTCTGCTCATTTGCTAGCGGCCCTACAGACCCCAAGCTCTGGCCCGTCAACCTTTCCCCGTGTTCCGAACGGTTCCCATACCCAGGCAGATGAGATTCGTCGAACTTTGGATGCTTCTGCGTCGGCAGGTCAGCTTTAGAGTGAATGGGTTTAGAGGCTTTGGGTATTCAAGGTTCTGCCTTACCGGGACCCGTAGCGCATTTTTCACAGACTTCTTTCTGTCGTTTGAAGGCGCAGGTTAGACATCATCATTTTTTGGTCTTTCTAGAATAGTTCTACCTATAGACGTTATCTGAGTGGCCAAATCGCTGAGCAGCTCTAAGACCGCGGCACTCCAAGGCAGAGGCACCCGAAGCAAATCTTCTCTGGGTCCTTGGGTACTTCAAAACTTCCTAGGCCTAGGCAGGCCGCAGCGGCAAGCGGCAACGTTATCAGCTTCCGGTCTGGCCCGATAGCACAAAGTGTTTTAGGCGAACCGTCTACAGACTGAGGCCCGGTCATAGAGACAGGAAGCTTGCCTACCACCAGATCCTGAGATACCTGGACCCTTAGAGCCAAAAAGCTGTTAAACGCCCAATATCCTGAACTGCAATACACCAAAACGCTTTTGAAGCCCCAAAGCCCCCAAAGCCCCAAGGGCCTTATAAGCCCTAATAAACCAAGACCTCCTTTCAGATGCCGCGCCTTCCGCCGTCGACGCGTCCGCCGTGCCCGCATCCCTGGGCCAGGTCCCGCAAGCAAGGGCTCTGCAGAAAGGGGGATAATATCGGGGTTGCATAATTAGAATAGGGCTCCTTTTCAAGGGGTCCTTTAAAGGGCTACTATAAGGTATACTGATACTGTAGTAGCGTTCTATGAGATGGGGGCCTTGATAAATAGAATAACGTTCCTTTAAAGGGGTTTGTCAAGGGTTACTATAAGGGATCTGTAAGGTCGGGGCCTTAGTACTTGCCTGTACTATGTTGGGGGTTCCTTATTATAATTACAGT